TAATTGAGGAGCACAACCAAATGTTTATCTCCCTCTTTTGTGCTTAATAAAGCAAAGCCCACACAGTTCACTCTTTTCACCACTGGTGGATTTCAGCTACTTAACCAAGGCCAGAAGTGAAACTCAAACAATATCGCACCACACAACCATGAGTTCACTTTCTCAGTCATTATCTGTACATTGTAAGGCAAAAAGGTAAAAAGTGACTTAAAACTGGAAATTTTCAAACTGACATCTTGGATAGCCTATATACAAATGTAGTCCAGAAGTGCTATGACCACTCATTTAGACCTGTGGGTCTCATATAAAGTGATAAGGCATGCTATTTTGCTATATTATGCTATATTGTGTCCACAGTGCATAGACATTTAGAAAGATCAACCCACTCAGATGAAGCTCAGCAGCATGAAGAATCCAGAGCAGGTTTATCATGAAGTCAGCAGATGTTTTATGATATAAAATATGCTGATGCCACTTCCTTTGAAAAGATGTTGCCAAAATGACATATGACATAATGAAATAAACTTTTAAAGGGATATTTCACCCAAAAAATAGCTATTCTGTCATCATTAACTCACCCTCATTCCAAACCTGTATGACTTTCTTCTAAGGAAGTCAAAAGAAGATATTTTGAGAAATATTGATAACGAAACTGTTTTGTTTACCATTGACTTCCACTGTAAAACACTTAAAATATCTTCTTCGTGTTCCACAGAAGAAAAAAAGTCATACAGGTTTGAACAACATGACAGTGAGTAAACAACGACAGAGTTTTCATTCAACTGTCCCTTCAAGTACATAAGAAAATGGGATCCATGTTTGTGAAATCACTAGTAAGTGCGTCAAACTGCCTTTCATAGCATTAAGAGCTGCTAAATTGACAGTAATGCATTTAACTGGGAAGCAATGCCACAGGGTTAAGTCAAATGGGTTATCAATTACTTTACCTTTTGAATTAATTTTATTTTATTTTATTTTGAAGATGCTCTCAGTAGTACTATTTTCTAGAAGATTAATATCATTCAATTTTAAATATATATTTTAAAAAATACTATTAATTTCTTTGTTTAAAACAACTTATTAGGAAAAAAATACTGATTGTATCTTTAAGAAACCTGAGGAAAAACCTACTATGCCTTTGCTCATCCTACTGTCACCAAATGCTCCAGGAATGAAGATAATAGTAATATCAGGTGTCTCCACTCTGAATGAATGGGTAACTCTGCATTACTTTATATAAGAAAAACAAGGCGTGCCACAACAGCCTGGGCTACTGCTTGTGCAGAAGATTATCCAAGCACTCCAATTATCTTTCATTATTCCTCTCCGGTGCCTCTGCTAATCCCCAATCGCCTCTCATTTCAATTTACTTTCAGCAACATACAATGGGAACACACAAGCACCATGTTGCGTTGAAGAGAGATAGCTGAGGTGTGTATTGGATCATCATCAGACTGTCCAGGGAAATCTTTTCAGCTCCTGCTTTGTCATTAAGTCACATGACCTAAACACAGACTCTATTATAGCATGGGGTTCCCATTATCTCTCTTGAGGTCACTGCAGATTAAGGCAAAGCATCTGTGTTGTCTTATTTCCCTCTCTTTAATTTTCTCCAATATCAGGTTGGTGGATCCAACTGAATCAGGGTATCTTCCGTCCAATCAATTTTTGTTTTAATATTGAAATCTGAAAAATGAAAAACGAAATATGTGCCCGTTTTTCATTTTTCAGATTTCAATATTAAAACAAAAATTGATTGGACGGAAGATACCCTGATTCAACTGAATCCGTGTATCATTCGATCATTCGTTTTTAGATTTAATATTGAAAGTAGAAAAATTTGAAAACGGCTCTTTTTTTGTTTTTCCAAAAAACAAAAAACAAGAATTCAGCTTAAATTTTCGTTTTTCGTTCATGGGTGGAAAAATTAATAAACAGCTTGAATATTCGATTTCTACAT